GCAGAAGAATCCAGATCACCAAAATAAAAGCCCAAATCCAGGACAAAGAAGACAAAAAGAAAATACAAATATCAATGAAACAAAAAGCTGTTTCTTTGAAAGGATAAACAAGATTGATGGTCCCCTAGCTAGACTGACCAAGAAAAAGAGAGAAAAAGAGAGAAAAAGCACAATCAGAAACACAAAAGATGAAGTCACATCTGATCTTGAAGAAATACAAAAGATCATTAGAGACTACTATGTACACTTGTATGGAAACAAACTTGAAAACTTTTCAGAAATGGAGGACTTTCTGTCATCACACAACCTTTCTAGGTTGAAACAAGAAGAAATTGAGACCCTAAATAGACCAATAACAATCAAGGAAATTGACTATGTAAGAAGAAAACTACCTACAAAAAAAAAAGCCCTGGACCAGATGGCTTTCCAGCAGAATTCTACAAGACATTTAAGGAGGAGCTGATGCCAATTCTAGTGAAGGTATTCCAGGTGATTGAGAAAGATGGAACTCTCCCCAAATCATTTTATGAAGCTAACATCACATTGATACCCAAACCAGGTAAAGATCCAACAAAGAAAGAGAACTACAGGCCAATATCTTTGATGAACATAGATGCTAAAATTCTCAACAAGATCCTAGCAAACTGGATTCAACAACACATCTCAAAAATCATCCATCATGACCAAGTAGGCTTCATCCCTGGGATACAAGCCTGGTTCAACATTCATAAAACCATAAATGTAATTAAATACATCAACAGATGTTAAAATAAAAACCACATGATTATATCATTAGATGCAGAAAAAGGTTTTGATAAAATCCCACAATCTTCTTGATAAAAACCCTTGAACATCTAGGCATACGGGGAACATACCTCAAAATAGTAAAAACCATCTATGAGAAACCCACAGCCAGCATACTCCTAAATGGACAAAAACTGGAACCATTTCCCCTGAAAACTGGAACAAGACAAGGATGCCCACTCTCACCCTTCCTGTTCAATATAGATTGGAAGTCCTGGCTAGAGGAATCAGAGAAGAGAAGGCAATTGGGGGTATCCAAATAGGAAAAGAGGAAGTCAAGCTATCTCTCTTTGCAGATGACATGATTGTGTACCTTGAAAACCCAAGAGAATCTGTCAAAAATCTCCTTACACTCATAAAGGATTTTGGCAAAGTCTCAGGATATAAAATAAATGTGCAAAAGACAATCGCATTTCTTTACACCAATAATAAACAAACAGAAACCCAAATAAAATGCACAATTCCATTCACAATAGCCACCAAAAAAAATGAAATACCTTGGCATCTTCCTAACCAGAAATGTGAAAAAGACCTTTACAATGAACACTACAAAACACTGCTCAAAGAAATCAAAGATGACACAAACAAGTGGAAAAATATCCCATGCTCATGGATTGGAAGAATTATTGTGAAGATGTCCATCCTACCTAAGGCAATCTACAGATTTAATGCAATACCCATCAAATTACCAGCAGCATTCTTCTCAGACCTAGAAAAAACAACACAGGAATTCATATGGAAACACAAATGACCAAGAATAGCCAGAACAATCCTCAGCAAAAAAAAAAACAACAAAGAAACAAAAAACAAAGCAGGTGGTATCACATTACCAGACTTCAAACTTTACTATAAAGCTACAATCATCAAAACAGCTTGGTATTGGTACAGGAACAAGCATATAGACCAATGGAATAGAATTGAGATTCCAGAAGCAAAACCTCAATTTCTCAACCAACTTATCTTTGACAAAGGCTCCACCACCTACCACTGGGGAGAGGAGAACCTATTCAGTAAATGGTGCTGGGAAAACTGGTTGACCACATGCAGAAGATTGAAACAGGACCCCTATCTATCCCCATCACAAAAATTAACTCTAAATGGATCAGAGACCTAAATGTAAAACCTCAAACCATAAGAACCTTAGAAAATGAAGGACATACCCTCATGGAAATCAGAACTGGCATCCAATTCCTGAACAAAACTTGAAACCCACAGGCCATAAAGGATAAGATAGACAAGTGAGACCTCATTAAACTGACAAGCTTCTGCAAAGCCAAAGAAACCATCAAGAGAGCAGGGAGAAAGCCTACAGATTGGGAAAAGTAGTTGCCAACTCCAGGTCTGACAAAGGCTTAACATCTTGAATCTACAAGGAACTCAAACGTACTGAAAAGAAAAAAACAAACAACCCCATTGTAAGATGGGCAAAAGATATGAACAGACACTTCTCAAAGGAAGACATCCAAGCAGCCAACAGACACATCAAGAAATGTTCAATCTCACTGATCATCAGGGAGATGCAAATTAAAACCACACTGAGATAACCAGCTAACTCCAGTCAGAATGGCAATTATCAATAACTCAAAAAATAACAGTTGCTGGAGAGGGTGTGGCAAAAAGGGAACACTTCTACACTGTTGGTGGGAGTGCAAACTAGTGCAACCTCTGTGGAAAACAGTATGGTGATTCCTAAAAGCTGTAAATATTGACCTCCCATATGACCCCACAATCCCCCTACTGGGAATATACCCTAAAGAACTCAAATCACTCTGTAGAAAAGATTTCTGCACACGTATGTCTATCACAGCATTGTTCACAATAGCAAGAACCCGGAAGCAACCATGCTGCCCAACAAAAGAGGACTGGATTTTAAGAGGACATGGTACATATACACGATGGAATACTATGCAGCCATAATAAAGAACAAAATCATGAATCTCGCAGCAACCTGGATGGAACTAGAGTCTATAATACTGAGCGACCTCTCACAGAAACAAAGATCTGAGTATCACATGCTCTCACTCATATAGTGGACCTTGAACATCCAACGTAATACTATAAGAAGATGACTGACAGTGGTGGGACACTATGTGGGGGGAGGGGAAAGGAGATGGGACTAATGGTAGTAAATATCTGTCTGGGGACGGGGAGACACCTCTTATCAACAAGAGTGCCTGAACGAAGCATATTTGTATACCTAACCCTTAACTGTACCCCACAATATCATAATAAAAATATTGATTAAAAAAAAATAAAATCTCTGAAGAAAACATAAAATTCATAAAACCTCAAGGAATAATTCCTGACATGTGACCTATGTGTTTGGCAAAGTTTCATTACATATAATCATCCAAACACAAACCATAAAACAACCATGGAACTTTATTCAATTGTAAAGCTTCTCTCTTAAAGCCTCTGTGAAAAACATGAAAAGATAGTACATCCACTGGGAGAAAATCATTGCAAGACATACATTGCAGGATGAATGTCTCTCTATTATAGAAAGAACTCTCAAATACTAAAATTTGATGAATCTAGAAAAACAAAACAAAACAAAAAAAACACCAGTAAGAAGGCAGAGCAGGAACCTTTAGAACTTGTTAGCCAGAGGAAACATTCATCAAACCAAATATCCACACCTGGAATTACCATCAGACAAACTCAGGAAATTTGAACAAATGGTAATGATGCAAAGCCCCAGTGAACTGCAGACAGGAATCAGACAGAGGAAAATGGTAAAAACATTGGTCTCGGTGACTGTGAGACTGTTACTTTCTGCTAGTCATTATACTACCACATGTGAATATGTTCCTGGGCTCCATTCAACTTCTTCACTTGCAAGTTTCTTTCACGTATATGGACCATTCCTTTACAAACAGCAAGCTAGAGACACCTTTTCCCTAGGAACCTCAAATGTTTGCAAATATACAAACAACCTTCGGGGTCATCAAAACTCACACTGCAAAAAGTGAGCTGGAGGCAGACATCAGGTTTCCACAGGAGCCTGAATCCCAACAAGAGGAACACAATCATCTACCAACCCATGGGGAACACCTTCAGTTCCAATGGAGCTCAACCACCTGAGGACAACTAGGACAAAGAGAGGGCTTCAGGCTAGCAGGAGACAGCACACACAAGTTGATGGTGGCTCCTATTCCTTCTAGAGAAGACACAACACTAAGCAGAGAAGTCATACCTCGTTGCTGTGCTGTGGGAAGTACATTCCACATTTCTTCCTGATGAGTGAAACTGACCTGCTCTCTCACATAGACTGGGTGTTCCCCATGCTTCTCCCACAGGCTCATCCGTCCAGTTCAAACACTGCTTCAAAGCTGGAGACTCCCTCAGCTAGGTTTAAGGTGCATGCTAGTGTTGAAATGATGCACAAAAATCATCAACTCAATTTCTTGGCAAGCCCATTGAATAAGAATGGTCAAAAACAAACCCATTCTACCATGACAGGATTCAATACCTAATTTGCCAGTGTGTGGGCAGTGTCACACATGTACAAAACATAAAAGTAATCACAGACTCCAAAACATGCACAACTATGATAGCTTCATTACAATCAAGAAGGTTAAAAAAAAAAAAAAAAAAAAAAGCAAGCCCAGAAAACCTGTCATCACACAATGGAAAAATGCTGTGCCATGGATTGAGCTAAAGACATACAAAAGAACAATCTGATCAACAAAGAATTCAAAATAGCTGCTTTAATAAAACTCAGAAGATGCATAGGGGAAAAAATTGAAAAAATTTTCAGAGACACTCAACAGAGAAATTGAAACAGAAAATATTCAAACAGAAATCCTGGAGGTCAAAAGTACAGTGACATGGAAAATGCAAGAGATGGCATCTACAGCTTAACACTTAAGAAACAAAAAAACCTACTGGGATGAAATTTGGCTATCCAAACACACAGATAAGCTTAGGAAAAAAGAATGAGAAGAAATAAAGAAAAATTAAGGTTTCTAGAAGACAAAATCAAGAGAGTACTCATTGTGTTTCTGCATCCACAAGGGACTAGAGAATACAAGAAGAGTAACAAGCTTACCTACAAAATGGTACCCAAAACTTTCAAAACCTACAGAAAGGTACCAATATTCAGGAACTGGGAGCTATAAGACTGCCTATAAGATTCTGCCTAATTAGAACACCTCCAAAAAAGTTACAAGCAAACTCTACAGGGTCAAAAACAGAGAGAGGATCCTGAGGCAGCAAGAGGAAAATAGTAAATAGCACATAAAGAAGGTACAAATTGCCTCCTAGGAGACTGCTAAACAGAAATACTACAGGTCAGAGGAGAGGGGATGATAAACTCAGCATGTTGAAGGACAACAACTCAAAGGCATGAGAGAAAACAGAAAGGCCTCACTCGCCATTGGACAGAGTGGATCCATGTCATGCAAGTAAATCAGAAGTCACTGGAACACAAAAAGATAGGGCCACATAAGGTAGAGTCGGTCAAGTTCATCTGTAATCATGAGAGGATTATGCCAAGGCACAAAGAAATTTTGCCTCAGTCCCCTAACCTGGCAAAGAAAGATAAACAAAACACATGGGAAATAGCTTCTCTTATTAACGCACTAAAAATAGACCCAGCTGGCCCTCAATGTTGTTCCTGAGCTTTGGACACTAAGCCACAGACAACAGGCCGTTCCACACATTGGAAGTTGTAGCAACTCATGCAGAGTGGCAGTAGAAATCCCAAAGCTCACAGTCTAGCACTTTGTGTTTAGAGTTGAGGCCCAGGCACATCTGTGGATATGAATCAGGGTGGTGCCCAGGCACAGCCAGATCTCTGGGATTTTCTCCTCCCTGCAAGCCCCGGCCCTGCTTACCTGTAGGTGGGACCAGTAGTCCCAGGGTCACCGAAGTGGGGAAGGGGCAGAGGGCAGTAGGAGCAGGAGGATGAACAAGCAATGCGTCGTTGTGTCTCCGCTCAGAGTTTCTCTAAGAGGGAAAAAGAGACTGTTACTTGAGATCCTGTTAGCCGTTTTTTTCAGACTATCAGGATTTTGATTACAGCTATTTTTTTTCATTTTGTTGTATTTTTATTTTCCAAAATCAAGTCTGTGAACTCAAGCCTCCACCCCATTTTTGGTTGGCAACAAGATTTCCACTTCTTGGCCCACATCCGCTTGTGCTCCCAATTTCCCGAGGATAGCAGACTCTGGGATGTCATGGGAGGTGAATGTTCATTAGTGGTCCCCACCCGCTGGGCACCAGCAAACTTTCTGGTCTGCAGACCCTCGGCAACCTCCAGGCCGCCCCATGCAGCCCCGCCTCTCATCCCACCACACTTGCCATCCCTCGAAAGCTCTGCCTTCTCTTCACTCTCTGGGTGAGGATGTGAGGGCAACATGAGCCCACAGAAAGGGAAGAGGATGGGATGGGACGCCCTCACTCACAGACCTCCACGCCGCCATCTTTACCTGGCAGTCAGAAACAACTTCGTAACTGAAAGAACTCCGTGTCCATGGCAACACCAAACAGAAGATGCCAGTTGGCCAGGCCAGAGAAGGACCGTTATAGAGGGGGGAATAGAATGCACTTGGCCCAAGATGGCAGAGGCTAAGAAACAGATGCTGTTCTCCATGGGAATAGGGGAGTGGGGGTTGGTAGAGGAGAATAAACTGGGACAAAGGGACAAACACCCCAGGGTAATCACCTCAGAGCAGAGACTATCTCCCCCGTTGGGTGTTTGGGTTCCTGTTTTTATATTGAATAAAGGGACTTCTTCTTCTCGATGTTGATTAAGAAGGGGACATCAAGTATTTGGCTGAATTTGTGAGCTGGAGAAAATGACTAGAGGGCTCCAAATTTTCTGGATAATATTACATTTTTACTAAAATAGGCACAGTCAATAGTCGTCATGACTGGGGGGGAAATTCTCATTGACTCAACCGACCATTTCATAGATGTGAAATAAAATGATCACATCATTGTTTATTAAAAACACACTCATGTTCCTACTTGAGGACACATAAGGAGGGGTGGGGAATGTCATAACCATGCAGAGTAAGCTTCAAAACAGAGCAGACAAAGCATTAGAAATGTCCGCATACAGATTACAATATGCAAATTGTCACAAAGAGAGAAAGAAGCAGAGAAAGAGCACGGTGCCTGTGTGCCTTGGTACATGATCTGAGGTTGAGTAAATGATCACTCTTGAAGGCAAGTTGGGGGAAACTTACACTCCTGTTTCTTTGGTATTTCTGTAAAGCACTATGCAAGAGTCAAACATGGTCACTGAATCCAGTGTCAGGGTGATGACCTTCTTCATGTCAGATCAGAATTAATGGAGAACTGCCTTGGGATGCTGGCTGCCCCAAACCCAACAAGCTCTTGAGGAAAAAAAACAGTGAGAATCTTGGGGCTGATGGACTATTCAAAAATGAACACCATGGAGGTGGTACTTACAGGGAAGTAGCTGAGGTGTGAAGTAGTGTTTATTAAGATCCTCTGTGTGACAGGCCCAGGGTATATGTGAAGAGTGCTCAAGAAAGCCCATTGATGATCATTTTATCTTCACCTGAGTGCTGTGAGTTAAACTGGCAAATTATCTTTGTGTGCAAAACTCACTGTTGCAGCCAGTGTGCTCTCTAGCTCCTGTGGTGACCCCCCAATCATCTTCCCTTAGAGTGGGTACTGTGTTCACTTGGGACCCATATTTACCCATGTTATCAGTAGGAATTTGCTGACCATGCATGGGAGGTTGCAATTTAGAGCTTCAGCATTTTTCTGGATTGTCTCCATGTGCTGCTCAGCACTCATTGTCCACACTTCTCTCCTGCTATTGGGGATGCTGGCCTTTGTGAACTATATCAACACTCTCCCTGGCTCTTTTATTCTCCATTTGTGTTGAGTCAATTAAGAAGTCCCAAGAGGAAGAGCAAGGTGCAAGAGAGTACAGTCAATATATTTAGACCCTGGGCACACTGTCAGCTACTGTTTGACTGTAGTTATATCAAGTGTATTCCAAAGTTTTTCATAACTTTTAGGTACTATCATAAAAGGTAATGTCCTCAAAATTTTATCCCATACAGATTGACTTTTGTGCTTCTTTTTCACACAGGTTAAAACACTATCTACCTCATCAACAAGGGTACCTCCATGATCAATGTTTATATACCTAACCCTAAAATGTACCCCACATCTTTATAATAAAAGTTAAAATTAAAATAAATAAAAATAAAAAAAAAATACTATCTGTCATTGGTGTGTCATCTTTAAACCATGTCTTAATTACACGTGTTTTATTGACTTAGCAAATATTTTGGTATGATCCAGAGTCCTCTGTTGTTGATTTTCAACAGAGTCACATGGCAGACTACACCTCTTGTACGACTACTGTGCTTTCAAGTGTATGAAGTCTTGTTTGATGACCCAGAAGGTAGGTTTTATATTGGCAAATATTTCAGGTCCTAGGGAAGAGGTGTCTATACTTTGCTGTTTTGAATGGGATGATCTATATACATGAAAGGGCTGTATACCGAGAGAAATTCAAGGAACCCTAAGAACATAGCTCCTAAGAACGTAAAGTACATAGCTCCTAAGTACGTAAAGTACATGAAGTTTCCACACAGGTAAGATGTCAAATTCCTCCAAACAATCTATGGATTTAATGCTATCACAGTAAAAAAAAAAAAAATCCTACTAGGCTTTAAAGTATTTCAAGGTATGACTTCATAAGTTGGATCTAAAATTCACATGCAAATACAAAGAAATGTATAAGTAGTTGCATTTAAATTAGACAAAACCAATCAGAAAAAAAGACAAAGAATTCACACACTACAAAGTTAAGAGATTAAGAGTTCTTGATTGGCTAATCTTGCTAGCAATTAACAAAACACTGTGGACTCACATTAATCTAAATAAACAGACCAACAAAAACAAGATGGAATCCAAAAAATATACCCACACATGTATGTGCAACAAACATGGAAATGCAACACAGTCATTCAGGACAATTTTCCAACATATGCTGTTGGGTCAATTGAATAATTAACTTCTAGCCAATCAATTCTCATTCTAAACCAAAATTACCTTAAAATGAACCATAAGAGTATATATGAAACTTAAAACTCATACAATCTCATGGAAAAATTCCTAGAGATGTGACCTCTGTGTTTGGCAAAGTTTGATTACATACAATCATCAAAACACAAACCATGAAGCAACCATGGGACTTCATCCAATTTTTAAACTTCTCTTCAAAAGCCCCTGTGAAAAACATCAGAAAACAGCTCACACACTGGAAGAAAATCACTGCAGGCATGTATTGCAGAATAGATTGTATCAATATTATTGAAAGAATTCTCAAAATATGATAATTTGATCTAGAAAAGGATCCATTAATTTGGTGAACTAGGACTTTTTACTACTTGTACCCCTGTGGTAATATCTATTTGAACATATTTCCACACCTGGAATCACCTTTCAAAGAACCTAGAATATCTTAACAGAAGTGTGAGGCTGCGATGATTCTTTAAGAGACACAATATTAAGTTCAATTCTCCTGTAATGGTCTATAGATTTAATGCAATCCCAATGATAAATTCCAGTAGGCCATAAAATACTTTTGGCCAGAAACTGACATTGATTTTAAAATTAGCATGCAAATAAAAAGGAATATATCTGTATTTAAAATAGAACAAACTGGGCAGGCTCGGTGGATCAGCCTGCAATCCCAGCACTTTGGGAGGCCAAAGTAAGTGCACTGCGTGAGCCTGCAGGTTCAAGACCAACCTGGGCAAATTTGCAAGACCTCATCGTCTCTACAGTAAATCAAAAATTAATTGACATGGAAGTTCTGGCTACTTGGAAGCCTGAGTGGAAGAATCGCCAGAGCCCAGCAGGTCAACACTTGGGTGGCCATGAGTATGCCATGGCACTCCAGCCTGAGCAACAGAGTGAGACTCTGACTCAAAAAATAAAAAAAGGTAGTTCAAACGACTTTGAAAAACAGAACGAAGACTGGGAACTAGTATGAAAGGACAGCAATAAAAATAAATAGATCAATAAAAAAGTGTAAGAAATCTAAGAAATAAACCAACACACACATGTGCTAAAAAAGATGAAAGGCAATTCAGCTGTTCATGTTTAACTTTTCAACAAATGCTGCTGGATCAATAAGAAAGTTTGTTTCAGCTGGGCTCAGTGGCTCAGCCTGTAATCCCACGCCTTTGGGAGACTGAGGTGAGTGGATTGCCTAAGCCCGCAGGTTCGAGACCCGCCTGGGCGGCGAGACCTCATCTCTACAATAAACCAAAAAAGCAGCCGGGCGTGGTAGTGCATGCCTGTAATTCCGGCTACTCGGAAGGCTGAGGCGGAAGGATCGCCGGAGCCCAGCAGGTCGAGGCTGCGGTGGCCGGGAGTGGCCACTGCACTCCAGTCTGGGCGACAGAGTGAGACTCCAACTCAAAAAAAAAAAAAACGTTTGCTTCGATCAATAACATATGATTTCAAAAATGAACTGGAAACAAATCATAGAACTAAATGTTAAACCTGAAACTCTTAAAATCTCTAGAAGAAAATCTTGGTGAATTTCTGTTTTGCAAAACATTCTTAGATACAACCCCAAAACACAAATCACAAAATAACAATTGGACTTCATCCCATTTTTAAACCTCTCTCCAAAAGACACTGTGAAGAGCATAAGAAGAGCTTCCAGACCGGGAAATAATCATTGCAAACCATATATTGGAAAATAGATTGTATCCATATCATAGCAAGAACGCTCAACATGCGACAATAAAATTGTCTCGAAAAGAATCAGAGGAAGATGGTGGATTGGGTCTCTTTAGTGTTGGTACTTCTACAGAAACATCCATTTGAATAAATATCCACACATGGATTACCTTCATAAGAACTAATGGAAAAAAACCCAGAAGTGAGAACGTGAAGCCCCTTTGGACCACAAAGATGTGTAAAACCATCATTGGATAATT